GTAAAAGAAATGTTTTTGATATTAATTAATGTACTGGATTTTATTATTTTTATTATATTATTTTCATTTTCATAAATGTTAATTGATCACTACCTCTAAGATTTGTCCGTTGTTCCTAGTCAGTATGTAAATAATATTTCTAAAATAAAGGTTTGGGTTAGCAGACAGCGTGTTATTTTTGCCTAAAACTGCATAATCTAATTGTGATTTATTATTACCACAATTATTACTGATGATAATACTAATGGTTATAAAGAAGAAAAACAATAATTCAATACTATATCAATTGTACTAGTTACACCTAAACAAGTGAGTTTGAGAAACAGTGTAATATGTAATAACGTGTTAATACCCTATTCAGAGATCTACTTTAGCTATTTATCATTTATATACAGTATCTCCTGACTTGCTTAATTAATATATTTTGGCGTAATGTTATGCAATTTCACAGCTCCATTTTTGGCTATGTCGATATCAAATAACTTTTCAAGATTAGCAGAAAATATTAACTGTTTATAGAACAACATAAATACTTGTGAGTATAACTGACCATAGACATTCCATTCTATTTTTTACACTTTAGCTATAAGTAGTCTATACCCGAATGTCTAGTATTAGTAACCAACACAATACTGTCCTTTTTAATTACACACCATCGGGCAATTATAAAGTTTACTCAGCAGATATTACAACCAATTACAACATGGTATCATAGGATTATCTTAATTGTCAAAAAGGCATATATTGGACGTACATGATTAGAAATATTAATAATAAAAAAAGCGATTTGATGGTATAGAAAACATAGATAAAAAACTAGAAACTAAAGACATGGAAAAATATATATAAACAGTCTTAAAGTATGGAAAAATTAACTGATATGTACGCTGACCTTTCGGTTTCAATATATATTTTCTTTTTTTTTCTGGGAGTATGGCATCTAATACCAACCCAATCAGGTGTCATATACATGAATCAAATACCAAAAAATATCTGCAACGCTTTCATTTATTTGTAGCATGAAAACCGCTTCTTAAGTAAAGAAATAGGATTATATTCAATCTCCACGTTAAGTTCTTAGGCAAGAATGTAAATCAAACAATACAAGAACTTTCCATAAAAAAATCAAACAATTGATGAGGTTAACTTATGAAAATTAGGCCTAAATAATGTCTGAAAATAATCTGGCAAATTTCCTCTTCTAAATATAGCAACAAAAGGTCATATTTTCTTCAATTCGTTACATTTTGGTTCTTGTAAAGTTTTTACGTAAAACTTTATATTTCTAAAAATACATATCATGGCGGTTCCTTTTACTTGGTCTGTATATACATACATATATATATATATATATATATATTATATATATATATATATATATATATATATAATATATATACATATATATATACATATTATATATATATATTATATATATATATATATTATATATATATATATATATATATATATATATATATATACATACACACACACACACACACACACACACACACACACACACACACACACACAACACACACACCATATATATATATATATATATATATTCATTACAAATTTGTATTGGATTTTTTCATGTTCCATCAAATATTTTGATGTACTGATGAGAAATACTGGCGGTCAGCATTACTACGATTTTTTGAAGGATTATGAAAATAGAAAATATATCGAAGGAACACCTAAATCCTGTGCATAAGCAGGTAAAAAATAGTCAACAAGTTATCTTATATCTTGTATATTATGTAGGCCTACATTGTATAAATCAAAATAATGGTGTACTATCATGCTTTTTGCCAGGCCGTGGTAGGAAAAAAGGAAAAAACTAATGCCACAGAATTTAATATATTCTGAGAGAACGTCCACCATTCTCTCACTCGTAAGCACAAGACTTTTTCTTTCCTTCATTCATGTTGCAAAATGTGGAGTGAAGGATCTGCACGATGATTGGCTTACCGAACATTTCCACCTAAAGCTTCCCGCCTGGTGATTGGTTCAGGAATCAGAGCCATCCAAAGATTCCCGTCTGGTGATTGGTTGGGTTATCGTTGCGACCTAAAGATTCCTGCGCAGTGATTGGCTGAGGCATCTTTGCTGTCCAAAGATTCCCGCGCGGTGATTGGCTGAGAGAGATTTCCATCCCAAAGGTCTGGTTAGTGATTGGTTCAGAGATCGTTGCTACTTAAAGGTATTGTACGCTCATTAGCTGAGAGAAATGTAATAAATTTTAGTGTAGTAAACCCACATCAAATCCCGCCAGTACATTATCATGGATAACATTACGAGCTCAGTATATATATGTATATATATACATACACACACACACACACACCACACACACACACACACACACACACACACACACACACACACACATATATATATATATATATATATATATATATATATATATATATATATATATATATATATATATATATATATATATATATATATATATATATATATATATATATGC